CACAGCCTTTATTATTATTTTGCAGTATTTTAAGTTTGTTTTCTTTTTTTAACTGGGTCGTATTATGCTTATAATGTCACTAAACATGCAAGTCCCAGGTTTTGCTGGATCTACTAGTGGAAATATTTTTTTCCCTCCTTTCTGGCTGCCTAGCAGGGACATTGTGATCAAGGGACTTAAGCAGACATTGTTTTGAAGTCCAGTCTCCACCACTTAACTCGTGTTTAACTGGACAGGGCACTTAACCTTTCTATAGCTCAGCTTCCTCTGTAAATAGGGAGGCCCATCCCCACTATCATACTCTGGAAGAAAGCGGTAACCAAACACACGTTTCCTGTGGAGCCGCGCCATTCTCTCCCCACCTTCCCTCCTCTGCTGCAGCACTGAAACAGGCCAGACCCAAGAAAAGACGTTTTGCTAAATTCTTAGCAGGCGTTAAACTATTAGTAGTGTTTTCAGCCAAGATACTGGGTGAGAGAAGCATATTTTTGCCAGGGAGGTGAATTCAGCCTTTGTAAAGTTAGGGGTTCTGAAGAACTGTACTGATTTGGCACTCGGGTTTATTTGCATCATATTTCTAAGCATTTCGCACCCAAATAAGTGTCTTTCTTCATACAATACATAAGGTAGTTGTTGGCAATTGAGGCATTAAGGAGATTCTAATGCATGAAAATGTTGATTCTAGTTCAGATGAGGAGCTGGCTGAGAGAATCATTATCGCCCAAAGCACGTAGATATTCTTGTACGGTATGTATTTATTTAAATTCCAAGAATACATCTGGAATATGCTATTTAGCTGGGGCTACAAACTTGGCTTTTCAGTAGGTCTATTTACCTAAATAAGTTATGCATATTTCATAAGAGCAAACAGACTATGTGAAAACACAGCTTACCTTGGTTTGATTTTAGATGTGTTTTCTCAGTGAAAGTCTTGCGTTCCTTAAATAATATTTGGTTGTGAAACAAAACTTGTTGCTTTAAAAAGTATCTAATCCTCATTGTAGCTTTCATAATTATACACAATATTCCAAGGAAACCCTGATATCCTTTGTTAACTTGCCAAAAAATTATTTTTAAACTTGCTTGGAAACTCTTAAGCCATCACAATACTTTTATAAAAGCAATTCCCTACAAAGGAATTTGATTGTATGGCATTTTGTTTCAAGAAATTCAATAAGTGGAGTAAGAATGTGAGTTTGGACAGCTATGAAGGACCGCAGAGATGAATAGATCCATCATTGTCTTCTCTTGTCATTTCTGACAGCCAGTTTCTTACCTTGTGCTTCAGAGGTGGAAGAGACTATGAAAAGCTGTGTGTCTACTCCTTCATTTCACACAGGCCCAGACTCAGGCTGAGCGGTACATCATCGTTGCTGGCTGGAAACAAATGTTCATACGTCTTCTATTCAGATACCTCTTAAATAGTAATGGTCCTATAAATTATGAGACTGTGTAATGATTGCTAAATCTGGAATAGGTACAATGAGAATAGTATCTACTGAGTACTACTAGGTACCAAGTCTTAATATTTTTCAAGAAACTAAGGTGTCAAAGAGGAAAAATGCATGGTTTTCTGGGGATTACATACATGTTAGATCAGCATAATTTAAACAGTTCTTATCAAAAGCATAAAAAATAAGCATAATGTAGATATGTCTATATAAATATATGTTTCACAGTGAAAAACCTTAGCTATGTCTTATACGTGTTAATACAATATAATATTCTATTTTCATTTTTTAATGACTAGCTATATTAAACTGGTTCCATGACCCACTCACAGATTAAATATTACAGTCTGTGAAAATGCACACACAGACACACAGATGTGTATTTTATGTATATATATTCAGTCATGCACTATGTAATGTCTGTCCAGCAGTGTCTGACTGTACATACATCTATGGTCCCGTAAGGCTATAATATAGTTCAGAATTCCTATGGGAGAGCAGGTCCTAAGGAAGGCAACACATGTGTCTTATATACAGAGTGATTGTGTCGCCAGGCTTATAATGGTATAGTACATGTGGGAGGCTTCAAAGAGTTCATGGAAAAATAGAATTGAGAAATAAAGGAGTTTTTTCATGAACTTCTTGAGGCCTCCTCTTATAACTTAAAATACATATTTTGCTAGTCATAATAAACTAGCCTAAGCTACTGCCATTTCTAAATATTTCACTATTCTTTCTATTGTTTCTCTTGTGCTCTGTGCTTTCCCTCTTATGAACAAAACCTTTCCCATGTAGCATTGGATGCTTCCACTTGTAGACAGCAGCACTCAATCTCGGTATCGATTGATGTCTCCTAAGTGTTGTAGTGTTCTCTCTCTCTGTTGAATCTTCTGAAAATATTACTGTGAGGGGCATCATGGCCTCCCAAACACGGCAAAACCGGTGCTGATGAGAGCAGCAACGAGAGGCCACGGAGAAATAATCAATATGGAAGTGAAACAGAGGTTACTAAACCACACCGAAGTTGGAAAACCGCTGAATGCTGTTGTTTGTGATTGAGGCATGCATGCTTGCTAAGTGTAATGTGTGTTCACACAACTCCTAAATCACATAACACCCTGTTCCACAGAATAGGACTGTGGCCATTAGGTAACACCTTAGTGCATGCTTGAACGCGTGCTTGCATGTTGTCGCTATTGTTGCCGTGGAGTGCTCCTGGGTGGGTTATAATCCCCAACCTTCAAGTTAGCAGTTGATTTCAAGCCACTTGTAACACCCAGGCTCACGTGTGTGCAATAAATCTCTCTCTAAGTAGGCATGAAATTATAACCTCCTGGTGCTTTTCTCTCAGGATTTGAGGGCATTGCTCCTCTTTCCCCAGTGTTGCTCTTGAAAAGATCAGATCGTTATCTCCTTCTTCCTGCTTTGATTTGAATAAAGGAAATAGTTATCAAGGTGTTTCTGTGCGAGAGCTGTTATAAGTGTTCTGCTCTTGAACCTTCACAGAATCTCTATGAGATAAGGGTTATTTTCTCTTACAGGGACAGATTGAGACATGGAGAAGCTCTCCGTGAGAGGGAGGTCTACTGATAGGATGTGGAGGGCTTGCTGTTAAAAGAATGGAAGGGGCTGGCCAGTTCCTTATGGGAACTCTGCGCGTGAGTGAGCCTGTGGTCTGCTGGACCCATAGATTGTGTCCACTGCTACCCAAGAAGTCAGTGCAGACTTGCAGTTGACCCTCATTTTTATCTACTCCCTCATAGTTCCCAATGTCCTTGAGTCCTGAATGTCTCCTACTAGATTCCTCTAGAAACTCTCCCTTCGTTTTCCCACCTGGAAAGGACAGCTGTGGACTAATGAGAGCACATGGACATCAGCTCACTGCATGCACTGACATTACAGTAGTCCCTTCTTGGCATGCTCACCTCCAGCCTCATGAAAGTCCAGTCCCTTCATGGACTCTGCAGGGAAAACTGGTTCCCATCTCGGCTATTCCAGACTGTAGCTTCTTCAGCTCCAGTCAATCACTTTCCAGATTCTTACATATATTTTTAAATTACAGCATGCAATTTGGAAGTTATGGAAAATAATGTAGCTATGCATTTATACCACCTACTTCAAGCCTTAACAAATTATCTGAAGCAAATATTTGTAGATGATAAATAAGACATCATAGATTTGGTTGGTGCTTTCTGTGTATTGGGGGATCAATTCATTTCCTTGTGGTCGGTGCCATTTTTAATTAGCCAGTATCATTGTCATGTGGGTTTTTAAACTGCTGTTCCAGATGTATTTAAAAGTGTTTAGCTATCCTCTTATCAATAGATATTTTATGTTATCTCCATTTTTGTTTTTTGTTTTTACTGCAATGATGTCATGAGCATTCTTGCACATATCAGAAGGGTTCTCTGCAGGATTTCCGTAAGAACAGAACAACACTGGTACTCTTGCTCTTTGGAGGATCCTCACTGGGTGTGGGTTCAGCAGAACCATTAGCTCAAGTTTATGTAAACCACGAGCAAGTTTATCCTTTTACCTCAGTGTTGCAAAACAAACTAAAAAATTTAAAAAACAACATGGTTTCTCTGTGGAATTACTACCCTGTTTCCCCGAAAATAAGACAGTCTCTTATATTAATGTTTGCTCCCAAAGATGCGCTAGGTCTTATTTTCGGGGGATGTCTTATTTTTCCATGAAGAAGAATACGGTACACATTTATTGTTGAACAAAAAAAAGGAAATTTACTACCTGTATACGGTATGGTAGTAATTGTCATCACAAACCAGCATAACCAGACAAACTGTGAATCCTACAGTATCAAGAATTTCTTGTTACTACCATGATTTTCATGAACAACAATCTATGGTACAGTTACTCGCACTTCCTGTCAACAGTGAGCTGGGCGGCGGTGCCTGCCGCTATGGTCCAGAATTAACAGTAGCTACGGGGGGGCTTATTTTCAGGGAGGTCTTATTTTTGGGGGGATGCCTTATATTTCAGCGAGAGGCAAAACTGTAAGTAGGTCTTATTTTGGGGGGATGTCTTACTTTTGGGGGAACACGGTAAGTTAAGGAGCCGCATACCTTCTGATTTATTAGATTCGGCCAGATTTCTCTCCAAAGTCATGGTACCTGGTTCCCAGTACATCTCTGTCACTGAGGTAAAGAATTCCAACTCCACTCCAGTAGCACACTGCCTCGATGGGGAGAAGAGCATTCTGTGTTGGACTGTGTGGGTGTGAGCCCGACTCTTCCACTGTCCAGCTGGGTTTCTTACATACCTGTAGTTTCCTCGTCTGTCAATAAGGATGATAGAGATGTTTTCGAAAATTAAAGCACATATTTGAAGCTCTTAGAAGACACCACCTGGCTCTATACTATTACGTAAACTTTTATTTTTTGCTGGTCGATGTGTGTGAAGTGGAATTTCAGGTTGTTTTCACTGGCACTTGGTCCGCACCAGAACCCTGCAGTCCTGCCAGGGACCCTGTCTGATGAGCCTGGCCGGAGTGTCTAGGCAACAGGAGTGATGTCTGCCCTTCTCTCCTAGGTGTTTATCTTGCTGTGGATCGCTGACTGGATGGTCCACCACTTCTGGAGGAAAGGAAAGGACCCGGATAGTTTCTCCATCCCTTACCTGACCGCACTGGGCGACTTGCTGGGGACCGCTTTGCTGGCCTTGAGTTTTCACTTCCTTTGGCTTATTGGAGATCGAGATGGAGATGTTGGAGACTAACAAGCCCTACAGATTGCTGTCACGTGACCCAGAAGAAAGCCCAAGGCAGCAATGTAGGGTTCTTCCTCGAGAATTTTAACCCAGCGTCATTTTCACTCAGCCCTGGTTCAATTAAATGGCCTTATATTTTCTTTTAAAGGAATTCATGTTGAGGCCAGATCAAAAAGTATTTGTGCTGCTTTTTATAGAATAAATGATAATTTGCATTGCTAGAGATCCACGCTCAAGCTTTGATATTAATTACAAGAAAGAAGATAGGGTGTTTACAAGAGTCATTTTGAAGCCCCACACTCCCAGCAGAAATGTGCTTTCTTGTTTGGCTTGCAACGCAGGCTGTAGGAGACGGGGCTGGGGCTTCCCCTGTCTCGCAGATGGCACGGTGTTGTGTTGCTGAGCCAGCTATACAGTGAAAGGGGCCTGTCAGACTCCTGATGTATTTGACTGAGCAAAGGTGAACTTACACTAATTGGTCTCGCCCCCCGCCCCCTGATTGAATTTTAACTCTGCAGAATCTTCCGACAGAACAGAGATGACTTTGATCCTTGATTTGTAGGAATATTAGTGCTTTTTTTTTTTCCTCCCAGAAAATGTATTGATAGTCAAAAGAAGAGGGTCACTTCAGAGATTTGGAAGGGACAATCTCGTGTGTGTGTGTGTGTGTGTGTGTGTGTGTGTGTGTGTGTGTGTGTGTGAGACAGAGAGAGAAGTACACTAGAGAACATGAATGAACAGGAGCGAGCAGGCAGAGGTGCTGAAGGAAAATTAAGTTTGGATTGTTGATGGCAAAGATCACAGTGCTGTTGGCATATCAACATTAGTCGTTTTCTTGACCATATTCATTGATATGCTTTACCATTTGCTCTAAATATTTTGCTACTAGCCAGGATCTAGTATTTGTTATCTACATTATAAATAATAGTTCCTTCTTCATAAGACAACAGACAAAACCATGATCAATGTAAGATTTAATGAGCAAGTAGATACATTTGCTATTTCAAAGAAGTCTTAGGCGTGCTCCTTTAATGAGAAGTTGTTTGGTCACCTTTGTTTAGTATTCAAGCCTAGACAAATCATCCGTTTCCACAGACTTATTTTTACAAGGGACCCTATTGTACACACTGCTCTGTTTCTCAAATACTTTTTCTCGAACTCTAACCTCTTGATCAGCCCCTTAAATTTTCGGTACAGAAACATTTTGATAGACAGCTAGTTCATTTTAAAATGCTGAACAGTTGCTCTAATTTTATCAGACATTATTTAATCATGCAACTGGAAGGGGAAGAGAACTAATTCACATTCATTTCGATCATCCTGCTTTCAGTTGTGACTTAGTGTTCAAATCCTGTAAACCGTAGGTTGTTTATAATATATATACTGGGCAGTGTTCCTACTGGGCTCTTTAAAATAAGAGGCCAGTGGCTTAGAGTTAAATATTTTTGCTTTTTTAAAACTTAAATTATTCTACTCTTCTGCCTTTTAATGAAGCATCTAAGGCAGAGAACAGAACTAATTATAGAATTTCTCCTTTGGAGAGTTATAATGTCACATAGTGAACATTCTTATAAAAGAAAGAATGATTAAATTAAGTTGGTGAATATTTAACTGCAAGGTTTTTTATTTTTAAAAAATACATGAATAATCTCTCTGACTTTATTGTAAAGCATTTGTAAATTACTTTCATTTGTGCTGTTGATTCAGGAGTATTTGAATTCCCAATGGTTTCTATTTTGATTTTTTAATGCATAACGAAATGCATGCCCAGCAAACCATGTCTTTTAAGCATTTTAAGTCTTAGTGTGTGATACATTCCAAAGCTCTTTCAAGTACACGCTGCTGTTTAACACTCATAGCCAGCACCCATTGCCACGGAGTCAGTTCTGACGCATCATGACTCTGTTGACTCAATAGAACTACCCCTTTGGTCCCAGAGGATGAGCAGAAAGCTTCATCTTTCTTCTGCAGATTAACAGCCCAGCAGGGAACCCACTACATCACCAGGGCTCCTCTGTTTATCCATATTGGTTCCTGTGAAATAGGTCAAATAGATGTTGTTGTTCAGCAGCTCTGTTGACACATGGTTAAGTGTTTGGCTGCTATCTGAAAGGTCAGTGGTTCAAAGTCACCTGCTACTCTTGAGGGAGAAAGATGTGATCATTTGTTCCTGTAAAGATTCCCCCAAACTCTGATACATAGCAACCCGATAGGACAGTAGAATCAACCCTGTGGGTTTCTAAGACTAAATCTATATGAAAGCAGAAAGCCTCATTTTCTTTCCTTGGAGTGGCTAGTGGTTTCTAATTGCTGACCTTGAAGTTAGCAATACACCCGCATAGCCGCTACACCATTGTATGGGGGCAGTTCTGCTCTGTCCTGTAGAGTCACTGTGCACTAGGGTGAATTTGATGGGAACCAACAAGAACAAATATTGCTAATCTCTGTCCTACAGAGGAGGAATGTGAAACTCAACTTAAATTGCTAATGTTGCACATGTACACCATGGCCAAAGTACTGAAAACCCTGCTCCCCTGTCTCCTAGGCCAGTATCCTTTCTCTGTCACCTCCGTGCCCTCCCTAGAGTGCCAGGAGAACCTAACCGAGAGGAAGGGTTGTCCAAAGTAGAATAGATAGTTTGCTTACCTTTTAGATTTCAGACAGGGAAACCCATTTCCTATACCTTAGTGCAGGCAATTCATAAACTCACTCAGAACTTACTGCCATTGAGTAGATTCTAAGTCACAGCAATCCTGTAGGACAGAGTAGAGCTGCCCCTGTAGGTTTCCAAGACTTTATAGGAGCCGACAGCCTCATCTTTCTCTCATGTAGCTTCTGGTGTAGTGGTTCTCAACCTTGCTAATGTCGCGACCCTTTAATACAGTTCCTCATGTTGTGGTGACCCCCGAATCATAAAATTATTCTTGTTGCTACTTCATAACTGTAATTTTGCTACTGTTCTGAATCGAGCAACCCCTGTGAAAGGGTCGTTTTGACTCCCAAAGTGGTTGTGACCCACAGGTTGAGAACCGCTGCTCTGGTAGGTTCGAACCACTGATCTTGAGATTAAACAGCTCAATGCATAGAGCATTATGCCACCAAGGAAAAGAATAAGGAACAATGCCTTATTTCTTAGAACACAATTTTCACCACCCTTCCCAATTCTAACAATTTTCCACAGATGCTAATTAAATAACGAGGAGGACCGATTTATTTTCTTTCTCCTCCTCTCCCACCAAATCTTGATCTCCTCGCGCACGCCCTCACCCCACCCCACCCTTCACTGCCATCAAGTCGATTCTCATAGTGAACCCTATAAGGGGTTCTGAAGCTATAAATATTTACAGAAGCAAATAGCTCCATCTTTTTCCTTTAGAGGCTGGTGGGTCTGAACTGCCAACCTTGTGGGTAGTCCAATACACCATCAGAGAGTAAGAGCAACAAAATATTGAAAAGTAGTAGGGGAAGGAAGGACCTGGAAAAATCAGTCACAGACTAGCTGAATTACTTATGAAAGGAAAATAGATTTCTCTAAAAATTGATGACTGATCTTTTGAAAACTTTTACGTAATTAGACAACCATTAAGATGGCGTATTTGCCCATAACAGGAATGATCAGTTTTAATACACAATGTAAATTTGCAGTATTTATTTTCATACAATGTAAAAATCCCTGCCTCCTCAAAATTTTTCTTAAACTAATTAATCAGATTTTTATTTGTACACAATCTCTTTTAAAATCCTCTTTATGCCTCCCAATCTTTATTTTTCACTCCAATATGAAATTTCTTAAAACCAGAATAATGGAACCTTAGGAACTGTATCTTCTGAGACACATCAAAACTCTACACCATAGCCTACTAGGGAATGCTAAATGAAGTACATCTTTTAAAACTCTTTCAGTATTTGGGCTTCTTTGACTAATACCTGTGGTATGGTATACCTATTCATAATGAACTTCTGCCATCTTTGAATTACTGCAAATTCAAAAATAAAATTTAAGAAATATTTACACAGCCTTGGTGTGATTACTTCATGATGAACTAGTTGAACATTGAACCCATGTAGAACTGACCAGAAGAGAGTGTGGGTGATCATGTATATATTGGGTAAAAGGTCTGTGGTTGGGACACACATAATTATTGCAGGTTAAATTGGTGACATCCAAGATTGGGTCTGTACCCCTGAGTCAGTCACAAGGACCCCTACTTCAAAACTAGATAGCATGGCTATTTTCAGTAAAAACCATTCAGCACATGCCGAAACAAATTCCTCAGTTCTCAATGCAAGCCTGAAGGCAAACTGCTGCCATTCCCTAGGTTTGCCCCAGACTTATCTAAGCATAAGCCACCTGGCTGGTTTAATGGTCAGTAAGGATTCAAATGGTCCCTGAACTTATGTCAAGAAGAAAAATGGAATTAATTCTCCCGCTATAGATAGACTGCAGTCTTCTACAAACCAAGGGTTTTAGAATTTTAACTCTAATACAATACATTATCTTTATGAAGTGTAATTAATTGGACCTACCCATACCTATACCTGTAATCCATTCACTTCAGCACTTTTATCACTATTAAATACTCTTCATTTCTTCACCCAATGGTCCAGCTTAGGTTCCTTAGTTTATCAGTCTATACAACTTTAGCTGCCCTTTTTCATATTTACCCGGCAGGACCCCAATTCCATTTAACTACAACTCTGATTATTCTCTGTTTCTACCTCAGCAGCTAAATATGACTCATGAAGAACATGCAACTGGTTCAACAGATCTTTAAATTTTTATCTTCACGTATCAAGTAACCGTCAACTGCCCAGCAATCCGATATTTCTCTCTTCACTCTCTGGAAGATCAGATTTTTATCCCCCGCTCCACAGCAGGTATACCTGTCAAGATCACCAATAGTTTCCATGTTGCCCAAACCAGAATGGTCAATTAATAATAAGAATTCACATCTTATTCTATTTCTAAAAATAGTTGACAGTGTCCCTCGTCCTTGAACTACTTTCTTCACTCAGCTTCCAAAATATCCTCCTTTAGTTTCTTCTATCCCCCTCTCGGCTTGTTTTGGTGGTGGTTCCTCGTCTTTTCGATCTCAAATGCTGGAATGCCCTAGGAACGCAGTTTTTATAACCTGCTCTCTAGGTAAATTGAAACTGGTGGCTGCTCACGCTAATAAGTCCCAATTCATTCCTCCAACCTTAGCCTTACATCTAAGCTGCAGAGC